ATGAAAGGGGCGATCCCATTCTTCTCATCTCTCCCTCTTTTTGCAATTCAGCTGGGAGGGTAGGCCATGACCAATCACCCCCCCCCCCCCCTCCCTTGAACCTCTCTCCAAAGGCATAAACAAAGATGACAGCACCAGAGAAGATATACTGTTGACCTTCAGACCTGGAATTTATTTCTGGAAAGAAACATTTCTGTTGAATATTTGAAACAAATATATTCTAACGATATATTTTGGGCATTTCTCTTACAGGACAGTAAGTGTGAAATGGGTCGAGAGTGCAGACATGCTGCAGGAGGACACAAACCTCAGTTTATGGGGACGGTCACGCTTTCGGGTGAGCTAGCAGTTCCCCAAAATAAAGTAATGCAAGAGTAAATGTAATCTTTCAATACTTTAAGCATCAAAAACTAAATGATTGCTAAATTATTACTAGATACCACTTGAATAAATCTGATTAATTTTGTCGTTTGGATGTGATTTGGATCTGAGTGTTTTTCATAAGCCATAAAACCTCTCCATCAACAGTCTAGTTTTATTTATATCACTTAATTGCAGTGTACTGTCGGTCATCTGAGCCTATTGTTATATCAGTCCCAAAACAGGATATCTTTCCTTAGCTTGCTAAATTTAACCCAGCTCTATCATTGGCCCATTGTATCCCCTTGTGTCTATGTTGGGGACTAAACAAAAAGAAAAATGGGTTAGTCATCATGAATGAGATGAGAGAACAGAGAGAGTGGTGGCAGGAGACCCAGACCCACATCGTATGTGACTTCCTCCCCCAGGTCGGCCTCCATTAGGAAGATCTTGGAGATTTTCTCACAGGGGCCAAAAAGCACGCGAGCCACCAGAGGGTATTCACCATCCCTCAGGCGGGTCCGCTCTGCAAGGCCACAGAATAAGAAAACAGCTAATGTAGTGGCACAAATACACACATAGATACACAAAAACCACAACAATTTATACAACTTACCTCCAGACTCGTGCACCATATAAAGGACAAACTCTTCAGATGTATTCTCCACCTTGAAAGACACGAATACACAAATATATTTCTATTTCTTTATTGTGATATCTATTGTTGAAATTGCTTGTTGCAGCTGACCACCCATCACCTCACCCTCTCCTTCCAAACATGAAAAAGAACCTGTGGTAGCCAGTTGTCATAATAAAAACTCAAAAGGTGATTAGTTTGTCCAGTCTGGACTAATGTGAAAAACATGGTGGCCTCTGTAGAGAGGGTCCCCTTGATGTGAATATAAAGTATTTAAATATAAATGGCCTATTCTCGGGTTAAGAAAACTACAATTCATACAATTTAGATGAAATGAACTAGTGAAAACATCATGAGGATTATTCTACATTAAATTTCTGCCAATAGTTCCCTTTCACCTAAATCTTACACACTGGACCTTTAAGTGAAAACACCACTAGTTTCCTCACTGCTTACCCTAAACTTGTGTAGCAGCAGGTTGAGGACTTGTGCCGTCGTCATGGAGCTGTTTACTCGTACGTTAGTGACCGAACCATAAGCTGGAGTAAACACAGATGTCTGAGGGCAACAGAAACAAACAGGTGAAATCTGGGGACATGATGTATTAGATTCTTTATTTGATCAGTGATTTCTGGAACTTGAACAGCTTGAACCGGGAATCTGAAACAGAGAGGAAATCCCTGCAGCTGGATTCTGTTCAATAACAACACACAAACACACACACACACACACACACTGTGTACTCAGGAGAAACAAATGAAGGGACTCGGTGTAACCTTGTATTCTGTGGCACACAAATCCGCCCATAGCAGGCTATTGTGAAACTAAGTGCAAGTGCAGGCACACCCACACAGGAAAACACAACGCCTCTGCATCTGGAGATGTGTTAACAACCGGATACATTAACATGTGTGTGTGTGTTGTTTTCTCATTGTACCTTGTGGTTGTAGAAATGTCCGTTGATCGAGAACCTGTGTGTGCGCAGGCGCTGCAGGTCTCTGGCAGTGTGAGTCTTTGACCTCCTCTGAACACGCATGAAGGAAGCGTCGCTCCTGGTCCTCAGCAGCTGAGGAGAGTCCTCCTCTTCCTGACCACCCATGTCATCACCTCAGGGAGCCATGTAAACAAAAAAGACGCTCTTCTTAACACATGTATCAGGTGGTGCCTGTTTACATACGCATCAGACATTTGGATATAGATGTTTTCATCTGTGTTTACCTCTGACCACGAGGTTATGTTTTCATGGTTTGTCAGCAGGATTACAAGATTACAGATCCAGGTTTTTTTTTCTCACTTTCTTAAACACTATGAGGCAAGACGCTTTTCAAATATTTTAGTTGATTTCTGAGTAGTGTTTCCATCCACATTTCAAATTGTCTCAGACAACATTAAGATTATCACATGACAAAAATGTGGTAATGAAACCAAGAACAAGGATCTGGATTAGCAAACAGAAGTAAATAGAATTAGTGCAAAAAATATATAAATTTCCCCATCAGACTATCTGTGGTCAGCAGAAACTGCTTAAAAAGGCCAATGTCAGACCTACCACGTGTGGTGTAAACCATGTTCCTGATCTGACCCGATCAGGACGACATCTCATCTGAGCTTCACACGTGAGCCGCTCTTTCCACTGGAAACACTGAGTGAAGCACTTGTGGAGCGCTAATCTATCTCAGCATGTGTGTGTAATCTACTAGTCTAATCCATCAGGAGTGTGTGTGAGTGCATGTGATTCGCAGTGACAGCATGTGTGCAATGTGTTACTCACTCGCTGGTCCAGTTTCCCTGCCAAGTGAATTATTGTTTGATTCTCCCGATGCCAAAGCAGATCTATCGTTTCTGTGGGAAGATGGAGGAAAGATATGTCCACTGTTTGTTGATGTTTCTAATATTCTCTCAATGGTTTTCATGTGAGAAGCAAATCAGGAGGTGACAAAGAAAAGCTAACTATCCTCTCCTCTATTCTCATTCCTTTTCCTAGCATCCACTACCATTCCACTCCATCACTGTCTCTGTCAATTTGGGTTGCAACTAACAAAATGTTCACTATTGCTTCATTTTCTAATCATTTTCTTGATTAATGCAGTGGGGTCGAAAAGCCTGAGACCTGGCTACTAGTGATCTCAGACTTTTGGATCCCAGTTATATTAAGTATATTAACTTTTGGTCAAGGTGCCACTGTGGTCCAGTGATCCGCACTGTCACCTCACAGCAACAATGTTCTGGGTTTGAATCTGACGGCCTGCGTTGGTTTTCTCTGGCTTCTTCTCACAGTCTAAAGACATGCAGGTTATGTATATGCATACATATATATGTATGTAAATTATGATTTGGCGCTATACAAATAAAATTGAATAGAAAAAATTTAATCATTTCCCAAATCAGTCTTACAAATCAATCTTTTATGTCACAAACAATCCAAAATCTAAGTATATTCAGTGCATTAGCTGTGACAGCATTATATCCACAAGTGATGCAAAACAAAAAAATACTGTCACATTTGCATTTCCACATTTTTTAAATAAACTATATTATCCAGAATTCCAGAGGTGATCACAAGCAATATGCAATAGTACTCTAGTCAGTCTAAAGTGTAGCTTTTGAATGTCACTCCTCATTTATTGTCAATTTTTCATTTTGTTATTATGGATTATTTTAGATGTAGATTAGATTTAAAAATGTTCTACTAGCTCTTTACACTGTATACTGTTATTTTGCCCGTTGGAGATCAGTAAAGCCGTCTTTTACTTTACTTTATTACCTTATTACAAAGATAATGGCCTAAGTCTAAAATTCACCACATCAGCAGTAAAGTGCAGCGCATCACGTACGACTCAGGCAGAAAGGAGTTTCCTCAGCTCCCTCATTACACAGGGTGGGGGGAGAGTTTGTAGAGTGGATTTATCTGCTATTGTGTGAGGGGTCTCTGTTAATATGAGTGGCTCACATCTGTTTGTTCAGCACATGAAGGCATCAGTGTGTAAGTTTGGATGTGGCTGCTGTTACCGGTTCAGACAGAGTCTTTCATTGTCATCATACATCTGAAGTCTGATTGGTCGACGAAGACCCCAGTAGATGTTCAGCAATCCCTCGAGGATGAACTCTCCTTCTTCCTATACACAGAAACACACACACACACATGTGACAATGATTATCAGCAGGAGGATAGAGGATGGAGGAGGATATCCTGCTGGCTGTCCGCCATAGTGGCTTAGTATCAGGTGTACGTGCAGGAACAGTCGCTCACAGCTCCAGGGTGACCCCCCTCTCATCTTGGAGAGAACCTGTAAGGCTCGGTCCACCCTTTTTTTTGCACAGCACAGGGGTGAAGTCACGTCTGAGGCGTAATAATGAGAACAGCGCAGAGGCTGCGTTGGGTCACGTACACACAGGGGGATGTGTTTTGATGTCATACACTGAAACTCCCCCCACTATAAAATAAAATAGCATTATCCTGTTGACGATTATAAGCTTTTAAATGTAAAACAAAAACATCTCGTTAATCTATTAAGTTTTATGTGCATATACCACAACTGCAGCAATAAATCAGATTAATTACTGCTGTGATCATTGATTATCACAATATCCATAGATTCTACAGCTCCTTTGTCTCCATATCTCATGTTATATCATCACTATATCTAATTAGATATCACATGCAGATTTTTCAAGAGATTTTGAGTAACGCACATAAGAGTCAGAGCAGGACAATGTCAGAGATCAGTTGATCAGCTGAAAGTCTGTGGTTAGCCCTAAAGCAAATTTGGTTAAACGCCAAATAATGGTTTATTGTCATTTGAGTGTAAACACATGAATACTCAGAAATATGTGTCAGGGGTGAAATGTGAGCGTGTGTCAGTTATAAAGCACTTTCTATACTATACATTTCACCTCACTCTGCTTTGAAAAATGATGAATTATTTGTCTGATGATAGAAAAACTGTCTCAGCCTCATAATGTATGAATTTTATGTTTACAGAGTTAATGGGTTCATTTTTCATGACCACAATAACCTGTGGTTTCTTGTGTGTGTTATGGTTGTATGTGCATCTGCGGGGTCAAAAGGAGGCAGGAGAAATGTACAAATTGCTGAACAAATAATACAATTTATGATGGACAGTCAGTCTAAGTGCCATTTTTAGATGAATAAAAGTCATGTTAATGTGTCCGTAAATGTAAATGTCAGAGGAGAGAAAGAGAAGAAAGTGGGTTCTTCAGAGGTGTGTCAGCTCACTCCCAGGGCTTCATTGTTTCTGGAATATAAACATTCAGAGCAGCTGCACCACTGAACTTTGCTAATCTGCCACTCCTGAGCTTCCTGAACAGGCATGAACACACCCTCACACTCACACACACACATACACATGCACGTACATGCAAGCACACGTACACGTAAGGTCAGCAGTGCTATTTTTGGAAGGAGCAGTTAATCGCTCTGCTGCAGTGAGCCTTTATAAAGCCTGGATACGCTCTGGTCCAGTCAGACTCAACTTAGCAACAGGGCAACTTGACTCTGCTTCATTCTATTCAACAGACGTTCAACTACAGCATCCAAGGTGAGACTGCTTCTTTATTATTTGACTACCAGCTATTCTCTATTATCAGCAATCCTTTATTACAATTCAGCCATTCCTGAAAAATGATTTGGAAAAGAAATGATGAGCAACAGGGGTTGTTGTAAGAAGGCAAGTTTAATAATCTTAACTCTGTATCTTCTGTGTAATTCTATCAAATAGGAAAGAATGATGTTCATAATTATCATAATTATATACATTTTTTGTATTAATTGAAGTCTAAAAGTCAGCAGACGAAATAGTAAATGCAGATAAACGACCATTATAGCAGATGTTGAGCAGCTGACAGACCCAAATAAAAAAATAAAATAAAATTTATTTGATGTCATTGATGTTTGTAGACAAAGAGCTCCAGTCTAACGGTTTTATTTTTCCTCTCCCTCTGCAGCAAGATGTGCAGGCGGTTGTTACTCTCCCTGCCTCTCTTGCCCACCATTACTGAGACGCTGGAGGACTCTCCTGTCAATCCCTCATCCTCCCACACCACCCAGGGCTCCCAGTCTCTAGACGACTACATGAGCAGCATCCAGGCCCTCGCCTGCTCCACTGAGGCCCCGAGCTGCGGCCCCGTCAGGCTCCAGCGCACCCCCAGGCTGCGGCAGTTCTCAAAGGCTCAGATGAAGCTTTCAGCCTCACTTCCTCGCGGATCTCCCCGTGCACTAAGGACTTCCAGACCTTCCAGTGTGAGTCTGAGCAGCACAGAGGAGTTTTCTCTCAGAACGGGCAGAGAACGAGACTGCAGGGGCAAAGACCCCGTGGACTGGCTGTTTGGACAGATAAGGACTTGAACAGAGACATTGTTGTTGTTGTTGGAAGTCCTGTGAGCACTTTGGAGGAGAATCACGTATCAAACAACGAAGAACTTGCTCAATTAAGGAGGATTAAAACAAAGCAATATCTGATGGGACTTATGTTTGCTGGACAAAAATCACCTTATTGTGTTTCATTAACATGAAGACGTCTTTATTTTTAATGCACTGAGGACTGAAGTCTACATGTTTACATTGTTGAATATTTTGTAAAGATTTAAAAGATATAGTTTTTAATAAAATGATAAAATAATCACATCATTGTTTGTGTGTTTCTAAAGTCATCAAATGAGCTACAAATCATTTAATTTTATCAATAAACTATTATTTATCATTTATAAACATTTATCAAGGAAAGAAACCAGAACTTGTTCTGAGGCAGGTTTTTTAAATGTCAGAATTTCATAAATTGAATCTCTTTGGTTGTTAAAGACATTATCTTGGGTGCAAGAATCTTTTTTCTGATATTTCTGAGACTTTAGAGCTGCAATTAAACACAGTGAGAGGCTGTGTCTATGGGCCAGGGGTGGAATATAACCAAGTACTATTAAAAGTTTACTCAGATAATGTACAGTTTTACCACACTTGGGAATTATCATTTTATGCTACCACGTATGTTTATACTTCATTGCTATAATTTTTTGATTTAATTCAGTTACATTGCAGATAAATAATACAAATATTTATACTACCCAGCAGTATATAAAAATTGAAAGTAGGCAACTTTAAAGTTTACAAAACCTAAATAGTTGTCACTTTAGTGCTATATTTATATCCTATTTCTTATGCAAAACTAACAACAATAACACACAGTAGAGGTCATACCTCTGCCCAACAGCCCACTTCAATCCAGCACCATATTTCATTTTGTCATAAATATTAGTCTCCTAAATATGCCAGATTTTTTATCATTATTGTATGGAAAACTGTGAAAACTGTTGAAAAACGCAATGTTAAAGAGTGTGAAAAAAAAATCTGATCCCATATCTGAATCCTCTCCAAAGACTAATTAGTTATTCCCTAACACACATCACATCCTTCCACCAAGTTTCGTGGAAATTATTTTGTGTAATCTTGTGTAACAAATAAATTAAGCAACAACCAATAGAGAGAGGTGAAAACATGACCTCCTCGGGGGGAATAACGACAACAGCAGCAGCAGCCGTGTATAACTGCTGCAGTAAAATGCTACTTTCAAATTAAAAACATTGGTGCTAATAATCCAATAATCAATACAGTGGTGTCTAAAAGTCTGAAGCAACTGGACTCCTGTATAACTCAAGAAGTCAGGTTTGCACACGTTCACTTATATACGATTATAAACACATTATAGGGATATATAATATATTTGAGTTTTGTGCTTTTTTGTTACTTCAGCTCAAGTAAAGGATCTAAATACTGTTTCCACCACTTCACAGATCAGTCAGACCAGGGATGGTTTTGCCAGGAGCCACAAGAAGGAAAAAAGCATTCTACTGACACCTAGTGGTGATCAAAGAGGCTTGATACTCGGTTAGTACAGCAGACAAGCCTGGCAGATACTTTAAGCCACTCCTATGTATGCTGTGTACTGACTGTGATTAAAGACTATACCACATTATAATGTGAACACATTATATGGTAACATCTGGGTTTGGAGAATACAGTCCTTTAATCCGAAGATTGTACGTTTGAAACCCCTTCAGGACATAATAATGGTTGAAGTGCTCTAAAGCAAGGCAGGGAATAACTACTGGCTCTGCTGTGAGAGCAGTGAAGGGAGAAGAGGCATCCAGCAATCAGAATCATCTACTTTATCACAGACTCAGTTGAACTTTTAAGTAGGGACACATGCTTGAGCTTGTTTTTCTGCGTCATTACACTGTGGATGGGGCAAATCCTCCATGCCAGATTGTTTACAGATCCTCCTACAACACGAATAACACACATCACCTGACTTCACCTGCACAGCGTGACAAACACCCACATCATTTCCTAATGGCCTTTCTACCGCACAGAACCTGTCTGTGTATCAGTCCAGACCAAGAATAGAGAAAGAAATACTCGACATGTCAAATATATGGGATCACTGTAAAGCTGTGTCTGGGAATTACTGTGCATTGACCGAGTGACTGTGTTTTCTGGAAACTCACATGGTTGAGCTTCCCTATTTTGGCCAAATTCCAACCTCAGAATGTCTCCACTCCATCTAATGAGTCATTCCTGACAAATTTCTAGACTCACTCTATCTGGTTCATGAGGTTTAACAGCTTCAACAATGTCACTATATCATGTCATGTGTAACTTATTAGTGAGTGTATATAATCACCGTTATAGTTTTCAACATACTATCATGGCATGTTGTGTGAGAGGGCTTTTATAACCTCACATATCTTTCCCTAACAACACAATAACAAGGTGGCTGCTCTGAAGCTTTTGATCATATCACATGATCTTCCCCGATGGTGCCCGATTTAAACATAGATCTTTCGGATGCACTTTAAGGATGTCTCATTCATTCATATTGGTTCCAAAGTTGAGATTGAAATGACAATAACAATGGAAAAAGCAGTAGACAAACCAGTCTCACCACAAAGTCCATTCAGTACATCACACAATAGAAGAAATACAATAATGATTCATTTTCATCTACGAAAAAAAGCTCCACAGAAACTACTGGAAGGACTTTGTGGTGATATTGTTTTGTCAACTGTTGTTTCGTGAAGGAAATGTTGATTTTCACGTCTCACTGTAATACAGATTAGATATTATTAACATTGGGTACATTTGCACATTTGCACAGGAACATACTAGTTTTTATTCATTAATGTCTGAATCAAAACATCCAACCCATAAAGGATAATCATTATAGACGATGGATGGATATAAATAAAATAGAAACGTATGCAGTACGATGTACATATTCATCCTCTGCATACCTAAACAGTTATAATTATTTATTTCATTGAACTGCTTTATCACATTTTTGCACTACTTGTACTTACTATTGTACAGTACAGTCCATATACCATCTGCCACTGTAGTTTAATTATTTATTACTGTTATTTACCACGTGAGCTCAGTATTTTTGACACCACTTTAAATGTACAGATAACATAATGAGTAGCTGCAGCTTTGTACTGCAAAATGTTGAGTTATTGTCCTCATCAAGTAATTTGATTTTTTTGTATTATTATTATGACATTTTTAGAGGTTCAAGCTACTGTGTCCTTATTTTTGGTTTATATAAAACTAGTATTATGATATCAGTGCTCCATGTACTAAACATGTGTATATACTTTACATGTACCCACAGCAGGTCTGTCTGTGACTGTGGGGGATTTTCCTAGAATGAGACAACATGGTGAGTGCGGCTGGAGGGGCACAAAAAGAGGGACAGATCATAACCACCTTGCTCTGCCCTGACCACACACACACGTATATATATGTCCATTCCTCAGAAAGGGGAACTCCTCACAATAAAAATCAGTGCAGTTATCAAACAAATAACAAACCACAGCATTTACTGTGGGAATGCATTACTCAGCAGTGAGTGCATAAGACTGAAATGTGGAGCCCCCTCCATCCTTTCCTTTCCTTTTCCTTTTGAGAGGCATGGGGCTTTCTGTGGTTTACCAGCTTAGTGGTATGTTGGAAAAGAAACCAGGAGTTGCAGATCTGAACTAAACACAAAACCGCAGGTTTTTTAAAATCCTCAATGTCTTTGAATCAAACTGGTTCCACACACAAACAAACAAACAAACAAGCACACACACACACACACACAATGACAAACACACACTACAACCGAGGTACTATCTCCCCTGTTGTTTCACTCCGGCCATCTGTCAGGTGACTTGACACAACGGCTGAATGTTTTTTTTACCTCACGCGTCCTCAGCTGGAAGTTTTTGCCTTCGTGGTAACAGTTGTAGGTCCTCAGCAGTGACAAGATGTCAGACCTGAGTTAGAACCACAAAGCAAAGATAAACTTTCACAACATTCAAGCAAAGATGAAATTATATATATGCCATATTGTATGTGGTTACTGTGCAGCAAGGGAGCTTCTAAAAGGACTTACTTTGGAATAAGTTTCTCTTCACTGAGCTTAACGTAGGTCTGATGCTCACCCATTCTGTCTAGAGTGCAGCTTTGGAAAAGAAATATGCAAAACAAAACATTAAAAGATGACATAAATATTAATAAAGGTTTAAGACAATCCTTACTAAGAATGACTCAATACCTAACTGTTCCCTTACTTTCAATCAACCTGCACCAAATTTCAAACACTTGATACCAGTCTCCTAAATGTCACTGTTTTTTTTCAACCAGATCCCTGAATCATCCCCTGCACAAAATGGGAAATATGGTGTGAAACGTTCCACCTCGAAATGTTAAAGAAAAAAAAAATCTTGATCCACACCAAATTGTAACAGGTTCTTCCCTGACCCATACCACATCCTTCCAACAAGTTTTGTGGAAATCTATCCAGTATGAATGAATACAATCTTGCTTGCAATCAAACCAACAAACAGTCAGGGGTGAAAAACTCCTTGTAAGATATAACTAACGATTTAATTTAATGATGCACAAAGAACATCTATTATTAACACATTCATGTGATCATGTGCTTTTAGATGAGAGGGCCACATAGATGCACATTATTGTTCTATTCAGTTTCATTTTGATCTGACCTGACGGCAGCGTCAAACTAATAGCCCCTGTTTTGAAAGCAGAGACAGAGAATTAGGAGAAATCACATGGGTTTTTTGACACAAAGCCAACAGTGTGACAGGTGAGGAGCTTAAACAAAAGACCGGAAACTAACACTGTGTCTTTATATCACATTCAAGGATAACTCCTGTTACTGTGTATGCTGGCAAACAGTTACTGTAAAAATGATAAGAAACAAACAGTGAGAAAACAATCAGTCTGCAACACTGTTTTCTAATAGATTAATTCATTCATTGAAAAAAAGACAGAAAAGCAACAAAAACAAACAGGAAGTTCATCACTTTGTTGTACAGGGTGACATAGCCAATTGGTGTCCCTGATCTTTTAATCCTGAATCCTGTCTGTATTGTAGGAGAATAGTGCTCTTGGGAATTTCCTGATTTGGAAAGCCCAGCACTGAGTGAGCGGGGGAGGAGCACATTTATAAAACAGCAACATGTGGCTGAACGGCTCAGAGTCAACGCTCAGCTTGCCTCCAATATGCAGCTTTACCCCCAGTCAGTGTGTCGGCTCGCCTTCCTGAGCCTCTGCTGTGTGCTGATCACAGGTAAGACTCTAACCATTCATCTTGTGTTTTTCTTTGATAAATTCGAGATATGGTAAAAGACAAGTGTAGATTTGTTGCTTTATTTGGACAAAACTAATTGAACATATGGAGTTGCAGTAGCTGCTCATGTTGCACCCTCTGGAATTAAGCTTAATCCTGTTTGCTGTCTTTGCAGTGAATGAGTCAGAGGGCACGTTTGTCCCAGGACGATGCTTGTGTCCGCAATCGCAGTCAAGAATCAGAGGGCACCTGAAAGAGCTCACAGTCTACCACAAAAGCCCCAGCTGCAACACGGTCACAGTCATGTGAGTACACACTCCCACACACAAAAACTTGCACTTTTATCTTAGTGAAGACATTTATTGGCAGGATGGATTCCCAAGCCCTTCTAACCTGAACCATCGCAACTAAAAGCTTAACCCTTAACTAAACCTTATTCTAACTCTAACCCTAAAAGCCAGTCTTAGAACTTGAACAGTCATTTGGAAAAGTGTGGACCAGGTAAAAAATGTCCTCAATTTCCCAAAATGTCCTCACTCCATGTGGCCTGTCGTCAAATTAATCCTGACAAAAATATGAGTACAAACACGCACAGACAGATGAGTGTGACTAGCTGTGCGTGCATGTGTTTTTCAGAGTGACTCTGAAGAGAAATAATGAACTCGTGTGTCTGAATCCAGAGGCACCGCTGGGCAAACAGCTCATCCACTGCTGGAACAGGTGAGACAGCACAGAACTACACTGCACTGAACTTACAGCGTGCATTTCCAATGTGTCTTTGCAATGTGTTTGTAAAAAAGCACTCCTTCCATTTAAGTCAAAGAATGAAATTAGGCAACAACCTTTGCACACAACACCAAAAACACGCAATTATCTTATTGTGTTGCCCAACAGACAATAGAATATTTTAGGTCTTATTTGTTTGCAAAGAGGTCCCACCCATCTTCATATTTCCAGTAAATGATCTCATTTGTTGCCAGGCCAGTTCTTGTGCCCGAGCTCTGATAACAAAGCAGAGTTTGTACTTTAACACAGAGGTCCTCTCAGCCTGCGACCCGCAACAGTAAAATAGAAAATATTCCAGGGACACTTCTACTTAGTTATGTGAAAGAACAAGACAAGAGAAATGCAGTAGAAAGTTATTAGACCCACTGCTTGAACATATTGACAATCCTTGCCTTTCGCAACCAGTTTAGCCTGTTTTGTACTTTTCCTTCTTAGTGTTCTCCTATATAAGCTATAATAACCAATACATACACATAGTCATGTTTTTGCAAGAATGCATTATCACATCCAACCTGTAAATATGTTTGATTTTAATCCAAACACTGTCTAAAACTACAGGAACATCTTAGCTCTATGCTCCACATTCAACTTTGAATTTATGTTTTCTAGAGCTCATAAGTTGGGCCGTGATGTGAAACTCTGCCTGAAGAGGAGGAGAGGCCGAGGCAGGAAGCGCATGCGCTCTCGACAGAGGAGCCAGGGTCAAAACATGAGAGCCTCATCTTCAAGCTCCTAATGGTTGACCGGCCACCTTCAACAAAGCTACAGCACGGAGAGTAGTGTGAACATACAGACTGTTGCCAACCTGCAGGTGTTTAACTCCAGGCCACCAGTGACAATGATTTTCTGTCCCACAGCTCAGACATCATGATCCCCTGAATTTCCATCTGGGTAGCAAAGCAAACTTTTCTATGCCAGCAGCAGGGGGGGTTTATTTATGCAACTCACTGATATAATTGAAAGCTATACAAGCCCTGGAGGTTTGTCACAACAGGTAAACATTTAAGCTTTATAACCCGATCAACTATATTGTAAATGTGTAGTTCTGTGTAGGCAGCTGGAAAAGATAACTGAACATGTTGTTGGGTATTTATTGTTTATGTAAATATGGACTTTTTTTAAGCACTTTTTTAAAAAATAAACCTATCTGAACAATAGTGTGGCCTTGTGTGGTATTTGCTGCTGAAGCTCTTGACTGAAGTGGGAGTGAATTATAGGAACGCTGACCGCTTCCTTGGCAGGATATGAGAGGTCACTACACCAACTGTCTCAACTTTGGTTAATAAACAACAGGATGTGAGTTAGTGGCAGGCACAAAGCAAACATATCTCACTCAAAACATCTGCACATGCATCTCAAAACTAAAACAGAAAATAGTTGTGTGTTTTATCAGGATGAGAGGGTACAACAAATGTCTCATGTGTAAAGGCGACCACTTCACCTAAGAACATTTGCTGGTGGTGTTTTGGGCACATGCAGGGTCATTAGTTCCGCATCTCCATTATCTGTATTACTGACAGTGATTGTTATCTTATTGATTGACATCCTAGCGATCAGGGCATGGACTGTTGTGAAGGCGGGTGTTTGTGGCGATTCGAAATCCAGCTTCACGTCTGCTCTAAGATTGAATCTAAATGATATGACAGGAATAGTGCAAACGGTGCTACAAGAGAGAAAACACATATACCTATTAAGTTGGCCTTCTATTCCCCTGTGTCTCCATGACTTATAAGGGCATTACTTTGACTTCCTGGAGACCCTATAACCTAACCATAAAACATGTCTTTGCCTTAAAATTTAATGATTTTCCATATATGAGGACTTAAGTTTTGTCCCCATAAGGAAGACAAGTCCCTATCATGTGACTGTGTAAACAAGTTTAGGTTCACACAACATGAGGAATTCCTGTACCACGCTCACACACACACACACACACATACACAGAGAGAACAGATAGAGTGACAAAGAGAAAGTTATATAAAGAGAGAGAGAGTGGTTTGCACAGCTAAATCCTTAATGTGACTTTGGATTGACTTCCATTCAATGTGCCTAATCATCCCTAACTTTAACCATGACCAATTCAGGCCTAACTCTAACCACAACCTACTAACAATTCACATTTACCACTAACCTTAACCAGGACCTTAAAAATTATGTTTTGCCTAATGAGGACCAGGCTGTGGTTCCCACAAGCTCTAGTGGTCCTGACAAGTTAAGAGTTTCTGCTGGACAAGGTCATAGAGATGCAATAAAAAGTAATAATTTGCCTTCTTCGCCAATGCTCTCACATCATTCTGGGAAATCGAAAGTTAATAACAAGGCATGTTAGAACCTGTGTGTCTTTGTCCACCTGGAATCAGTGTGAACTGCTGTAAAATCTTCCTGGTGATTACTCAACATACACAAGAGCACACATTGTTAAAAGTGAAAGTTAACTGATCACCTCACTCCCTTTGACCCTGGCCAGGTAATATGAGGGTTTTTTCCCATAGCCACTGTGTTATCTATGAACACAGTGAAAGCATGTGGGTGTGTTTCAAGAGAAATGTTATTCTTGATTAATGGAGTGAGAGCGGATTGTAACTGAGAGGATCTGTCATCTGCTGTCAAGATAAAAACTGTGTTGTTGCTGGATCAACTAACAGAGCCCCTTCAACTCCAATATAGCTACACACACTCACACCTGATGCATTAATAACTTTACTGTGCATTGTAATGGTATAGTAATGGATTATTTGTGTGTTGTCTGATGTAAAACTTCTAATGTATGTAAGGTAATAGGAATTTTTAATGTTTTTTTT